GATAATTCCAATTTGACCAATCCGAAATTGAAAATAATTTGAATTTAAATAATAAATATAACACAAATAATAACTCACTAAAATTATTAAAAATATCAAATTAACATATATATTTCTAAATCAAACTATTATATATATTATGTTACTTATAATTTTTTTATAATTTATAATATAATTTATAATAAATTATTATGAGTATACTTACATATCAATCTATTGTTTAAAATAAATTATATAATATTGTATAATTATAGATAATATCAATTATCCTATGATTTAAAATAAATATATATAAAACAAGGTATTAATTTGCATATACGTTATGTTTATATTATAATCATATTATTAATTTTTAATCATGTAATTTAAAATAAATTATATAATAAGCTACAATTATATTAAAATAATTATTTATATAATAGTTATATTATTAATATAATAAATAATTATATATTAAATGTGTATTATAAATAAATATTTAAACTAATTTTTATATGATTATATTAAATATGTAATTATATATTATAATTAAAGGTTTAAAATACTCTTATTACATTAAATTAAATTAAATATAAAAATTTATTAAACATGTTAAACATAATAAATATGTTTTTCATGTTTAATATGGTACTCTTATCACATAGTTTAATTAATAATATTTTTTATGTCTTACATTTGTCAAATTTTGTATCGCCAAATACATTTTTCTAATATTATACGATTTTTTCATATTATTTTAGATTGTATTGTTATATCTAGTTTAAATTATATTAAAGTTAAATTCAAATTTAATTAAACAATTTAATTTATTATTTTTAAAATTAATAAATTGAACTCAAAATATCTAAATCCAAATAATCAAATATCAACTTAAAATACCTAAATTAAAACAATCAAAATTTAAATCCAAAATAAATTAAATTTAAAATAATCTGAAATAAATAAATAAAAAAAACCCTGAAACCGAAATCGAAATGTTTGCCCAATTTACAAGTCCACTCTCAATAATTAGACATGATTGAACGACTAAAAATGACCTAAAGCTTGATAATGAAGTGAGACATCAACATCAATTTTAAAGGTTTTAGGAGAAAACTTAAAAATTTTTTAAAATATATTATCGCATATAATTATATATAATTTAATTAGAGGAAGAAATTTTTTATCTAATGTATCATAAATGAATTTTTGATATGTTCAACATCGTTTATGTGAGCTATGAGTGTATTTTAAAAAGATGCTAAGATGGAGAGTTATTTATATCTTAGAGTAAAGTCATAATTCTATATATTAAATAAAATGATTAAAAAGTAATTGTGATAATGAATGATTTTATCAGTTATAAATTATCGTATATGAAAAATATTGAAATTTATTTGTTAAATAATTACATGATTTATGAAAAATCAGAATAACGTAAAGCCCACCTATTAATTGGGTTCAGCCCTAGTGCTGACTAGTCGACGTCAACGTACGGCTTGTTTTCCTGGCACAGATGGTGTGTCCTAAAGAGGACCGCACAACAAAATTTGATTTAATTCAAGAGGGAAGAAGTAATTATCTCCCCAAAAGCCATGGAAAGAATCCGGCAAACCATATTAAACCTTCCGGAGGAGAATGGCTGGAGAAGTATCCAGCCTTTCCGCTTATACCAAGGCTTTTGGTGTATCCCCTATTTCCTGGAAGGTATCATGCTTGCTCAAGAACGCTTCAATGCTCAACCGAGTGATATCATTGTTTGCAGCGCTCCTAAGAGTGGCACCACTTGGATTAAGGCACTTACTTTTGCACTTGTGACTCGACACAATTTCGACGAGACAGCAAATCCTTTGCTGTTTAAAGGGCCGCATGACTGTTTGCCTACATTAGAGAGAATGTCAGACAACAAGCCCTACATACGTGAGCCAGGGATCCCTCTCATTGCCACGCACGCTCCCTACGCTTCATTGCCAAAATCTGTGCATGATTCCGATTGCAAAATTGTTTATCTTGGCAGAGAACCAAAGGATACATTTGTTTCCATGTTTCATTTTGCAGCCAAACGAAGGCCCAAGGAAAATCGGCCCATTTCTATAGAGGAGGCTTTGGAGCTGCTTTGTGAAGGGAAATCTATTTTTGGACCGTGGTGGGAACATACTTTGGGATACTGGAAGGCAAGTTTGGAAGTTGGAACGGCCAGACAAGGTAATGTTCCTGAAATATGAAGACCTGTTAAAAGATTCAGTATTTTATGTGAAGAAATTGGCAGAATTTATGGGGTACCCATTTTCCTTGGAGGAAGAAGAAGCAGGGGTAGTGGAGAGAATAGTAAATTTGTGTAGCTTTGAAAATCTTAGCAATTTGCAGGTGAATAATACTGGGGTGCAGCAGCTGGGTGCTCATCAGGCAAGTAACAAAGATTTCTTTAGGAAAGGCAAAGTTGGAGACTGGAGCAACTACCTGGCACCCCAGATGGCAAGCCACCGCGACCAGATAATGGAACAGAAGCTGAAAGGATCTGGCTTGACATTCAACTGCTCATAAATTAGTGTTGGACAATTAAGAAGACATGGCTTTTCAGTCTGCATTCTCGCTATTCCAAAAGTGAACTAGGCCTTTGCTTTTTTCTTGGTGGTTCATCTTTTGTTTTTTCTTAGGCGGTGTTGGTAGTCTTGTTACCTCTTAATTTTCAATAAATTCGATTGGCTTAGCATTAAAAGAAAAAAACACACGCACGCATGCACACACAAACAAACAAACAACAACAACATCTAGGCCTTTGTCTTATATTAAGCCCCATGTACAGTGAAGTTACATATTGGCTTGAATAATATGTGAAAGCTTTTGCTAGATTTGAATTGGGTTAATTGCATTTTCAGCAAAATTGTGTTTGATTGTGAGATTTTAATTTGAAGTTGTCAATTTCCAATATCGGTAAAGAAAGGGTGAGATTTATAAGAAAGAGAATGACAAATTTCATTGTGGAAAAATAACAAAGGTGACTGCTCTAGCTGGCATCTCTCTTCTGAGCTTTTCCAGCGGATGAACACTGTTATAGAGTCACATGGGGAGTTGATCAAATTAAACAAAGAAAAATCCCGAGTTACCATATGCCAAGCAGTTCACATAGAAATAGAATCTGGGATTTCCTCCATTTTTGTTCTGGATAGCGGCCTGCTTGACTAATCTATTAGCACAAAGGGAACTAGATGCATTGTTAAGTTGTGTGGAATATAATTATTTTATGACATTGATTGTCCTAGGCAGAGCATCAAACTCATTTTTGTTATTACTTCTGCTGATACCCTCCATGCTCTTATGCAAACTCTACAGCAATTGAACCAACAAAAAAATGAACATTTGTTTCTCTAAATAATTGACCAGAGATCTGAATTAACCAAAATTTTGGCTTTGATTAATATAAAATGTTATTTTGGTTTCAATTTTATTTTGATTAGTAGTTTCTTTTCTTTTTATTTTACCTGAAACATTTTAAGCAATCCAAAGTCTAAAAAGGAACCCCAAGAAACATGCACCTCTATGAAGAAAAGGAAACAATGGTATTTGATTAAAATGCCACATATGTCAATTAATAGTTAGAGATTAATGGTTGGATAGTCAAAATTTAATGATTAAATTAAAAATTATAATAGTTAGATGATGATTTTTAAAATGTGACTATAATTAAATAACCAACAATTTATTTCACACCAAAACCAATAGCTAATTTCTCTAACTTTGTAATTGCAACATGTAATCACAGTAAAAAAGTTTCATGGAATTTTTCGTTCCACTAGAAGTCTAGAACAAGCTTTCTCTAATTACCAAGTAATTGACTTGAAAGTTGATTTCCTTTTAATTTCCACTGAGAGTGGAGATATTTGGTTTTGTTAGTGTTGGAGAAGAAATGGAAGAAAAAACAGGTATCACCACTCACGCTTTAGGTAAAATCAATGGAAATAGAAAACAGAATCAGTTAATATTTGTCCTTGCAAGCGGCTTTCTTGGTTACTCGCAGCATGTTCTCGAGACAAACTTGTCTACGCCACGGGCAATGGAGTTATTGGAGTATAGGTAAGCCTTTAGCCTATTACAAGTAACTGCAGATGAAGCTTTTATTTGAGTACTGACTACCTTCCAATGTGACAGCAGATGAAGCTGAAAACCCTCCTTTGTATCAGACATTCCCTTGTTGAAAAACTTACAAAACACCCATTTCCATTATGGATTCTAAAAAAAAGCCTAATATTATGGTTAAACTTAGACAACTACTCAAGTTTTTTGTACGAGGAATTAAACTCAACACATGAAAATTTGTTCTTATATTCAGCGACTGAATCTTTGAAACATATCAACATAGGCAAACATTATTGTCTTTTTCCTAAATTCTTCAATTGTTTATACAAAGAGGGACATTTTCTGAAAAAAAGACTGAAAATAATTGAGAAATAGATTAAAGATGGAGATGAACACTCTCATGCGTGGAATATGCTGTCCAATTGTTGAGAACAAAAACACAGTACAAGGAAAGAATTATTGGATTCTTCCTTCAATATTTTACGTTTGCTTTGTTTTTGGGCAAAATTGCATGTTTTTAACCTTTTTTTTTCCTTTCTGTGTCTGCGTCTCTGTTTTATGTGTGGTTGTAGGCTTTAGTGACAGTCACGAATTGCCGTTTTCGTGTCCTTTCAAAGTTGACACTTTAATCATGATAAGCTCCTCCACCACCATCGCCACATTTGCTCATGGTCATCATTCCCCCCCTCCCATCACGGCTGCTGCTATTTTTCAATCATTAATTTATATCAGAAATGTGAATTTGAAAATTTATTGGAAATAATTCTCAAACTTCAAATCTCTCAAGAGACGGTGAGAGACAGATTTTATAGGTACAAGTGCCTGCACTTTGAAGTATTTCAATATTTAATCTAAATAAAACGAAAACTAAAAGAAAAAAAAAGTTGATAATGATGAAAGAATAGAAAAAGGAAGCATGCGAGGGATTGTTCATGAGTCTTTCTTTAGGCCTCATCAACATAGCTTGCATGTGAAAGCTCCTTTAACCATTCAAACGTTCGATGACGTGAAAAAGCTTGCTTCCCTTCTTGCTTTTCATTTTCCTTTTCTTTCCTGTTCTTCCTTATCTTCAGTTCTTGCAGCAGCTTCTTTTTCTCTTTCATGGCGGCATGCAACATTGCTTTCTCTTTCTCGCTGTTCTTGTTACTTTTGATGATGATTATGTTGTTCAGTGGAACTGTTTCAACTGCATTAACTGAACATTTACATCCACTAAACAACCCTATTCTCTTTTCTAAGAACCCTTTCTTCAAATCTTGCTGATTCTTTGCGCCTTCAGTACCAATGTTAACAACAATCTTACTGGTGCCGTTCTTGGTGCTTGAACTGCCGTTACTGCTATTACAACTGCTGTTTCGGCTGACCGAATTTCTATTAGCATTAGTGTTGTTGCTACGAACTTTCAAGTCTTGCAATTCAAGTTCTGGTGCTCGAACCAAACCTAACCTGAAAAAATCCCACATTGATGATTTCTGGTTTCGGCTGCTGACATTTACTGGCCGAGTTTTGGACAATCTTATCTGGGGTTTGGGACTTGGATGTGTGCTGAAGTTGTTTGTGATTTTAATTGGCTTTGACTTGAAATTGAAACTGGAATTGGAATTGACAACTGAATTGAAATTTCTTGCTGTAACTGTGATGGAATTACTGCTACTTGTTGAGTAATGACTACTTCTATTGCTGTTGCTTCTGCTACTGCTACCAATACGTGTGAACCTACTTAATGATCCATGATCCATGGACTCTGACCTTGAGAGGCAGCGGCCAGTGTTCTGGCTATCGTGGCGGCACCCTGTCAGGCCGCTATCTGAACTAACTGAGAGACGCAGGGGTAAAATTTGGCCTTTAAAGAACACGTCATCAGCTGCGCACATTTCTGGTTCTGTAGAAAGAGAGCCACCCCATGAACCGAAGTTAAAATCTTCTTCTGCTTTACTTGCTTGGGATTCACCAGCTTCATCATTCCTTGGCTGGACTTGGTTCTCTTCTTTAATCAAATTGACTGGCAAATCACACAATGACAATGCTTCTTCTTCCTCAGCTTCCCATTTTCCTTCATCATCACAGCTAATTGCTGTACTCTCCATGGTTTGAAAGTTAATGCAAACTTTCTATTTCAAACACTGTTGGATCCTCCTGGGAAGAAACAAACAGTGCAGAAAGTGGGATTTATATATCAAGAACAAGGAAATTTTGAATTACGGAGAGAGAAAGGCGGAGAAATAGGGAGACAAGTGGAATATAAAGAAGTAAAACCAACTGCTAAAGGAGCAATAAACAAACAATGGAAAATACAAAAGTCAGTGCAGGCCAAGCAAACAGGGTCTCTTTCTTATTTGTGAGTGAAAGAAAGTGAGGGGCTATCAGGCCGGCCAATAGTCAAGCTAGTACATATGCACCCTCACTTTCATCGATACTATTGGGGACGACAAAGAGGTTAAGATTTTATGCTGTAGTGGGGATAAAACCTAAAGGCTACAGCTAAAAGACAACCTTGGCCGGCATGCAAAAATTTTAGACCAACATCCACTTTGGAGCATGAAATTTGGAAGGGAAAAAAATTTGAAGAAGTTAAAAATGGGATGTTGAGTTAATTCACAGTATCAAACAATGATGGATATATCCTTTCGACAGCAAAACAGCCTCCAGGATACCATCTATGAATCGAATTCTTCTGGGCCTATTCATGAAAAGAAAATTTGAACTGTTGATAATGGCATATATATACTCCTGAGATGGGGACTAAAAGAGACAATACACGGAGGGTTGGTGTTGTTTTTATTATATAAAAATGAAATTTGGGTGCTTAAATTTTGGAGTCGGTGGCCTTGGTTTTGGGTAGGGGGTAGATTGTGATTTATGTGGTGCAAATTGAAGCTTTAAAGATTTATGTGACTCACTGAGGTTTTTTTTTTTTTTTTCCTTTTTTAACTTTGCTCTGGAAAGGTGTTTTTGGCTTTGCTGGTCAAGCGGGAAAGGAATGACTTGTATTTCACTGCATAAAATAAAGTTTTTTCAACCAACCAAACTGTAAAAAAATAAAGAAATAACAGTAGATTTAAGTTCATGGACCACTTAAAATTTTGTTTCACTCAGAAAAAAAAAAGAGCTAAAGTTATCTAATTGGTCAAAAACCATGTAATTTGTTTTGAAAAAAAAAAAAAAAACAGGTCAAGAAACATCTTCTGTTTAAATTTCCTTTAGGTTGCCATATCTTTACAGGGATTTTGAAAATTGAAATTGAAAAGATTCTGCATGATCATGGAGTTTGATATGGTATTCATTTTCATTTGTTCAATGCTATTAATGAGTTTTTCTGGAGAGATTTGACTATGTCATCCACTCATTTATTGAGAAGTAAATTTTTACGGTAAAATGATCGATTAGGCATTTGAATTGGTTGGAACTTTTATGTTTTTGGAGAAACTTTTTACTTTAAAATTTAGTGTAGGAGCTTCCACATTAAGATGCTTTTCTATGTTAATTCTTTCCGAAATAAATAAATAAATATCTCAATCAATCAACAATATTTTTAATTTTAGTTGAGAATAATTGTGAACGGAAAAATAAAGTTGGTAAGGTGGTTCCATCATAATAGCTTACTTTATGCAGGGAGAAGACTCGAAAATTTTTTTTGGTGATTGTTAATTTTTTAGAGAAATTATTGCATTTAGGGAAATTTTTAAATTTTATTGTTAAGATTAATAAATTAACACGTATTTTTATGATATATTAAAAAACAAAAAAAATAATTAAGAGACAAAATATGTTTAGTCCAAACAATTTCTCTATTAAATTTTTTTAATGTTATTTAAAAAAAATAAAGATTACAAAACTACAGTTATTATTAATTAATATTTTTTTTTGTTTAAGATTGATCGGATTTCATAAAAGGGAGCAAACTCTTTTAAATATATTTTTTCATTCATAAGATTCGAAATTCATATCTTATTTTAAAAAAATCGATTTTCTTATTACTCGAACCAATTAGTATTTTTATTAAGCAATGGCAGACTATCATGATTCTTACATTTTTATATAATCATTTTAAGATTCAAAACACCTCAAAGCACATAATTCATGTGCCTAATAAAACTATTTTACTTGCCTTTAAAGGTAAGAAAATAGACAGTCTTATGAAGGTTTTTCTTTAAAAAGGGAAAGGATTGTGAAATTTTAATCACTTTGAAAGTATGGTTAGAAAAGAAAATCAGAAATTTTATTTCATGTTTATCACTTGTTAGTTTGTGTAGCAAAAAGCATGCAAATTATAAACTTCTTGTTAGTACCTTCTCTCCTTCACACCCTAAAAAAATAGGGACAGAGAATAAATTTATTATTTTACTTGAATAAATTATTCAAATTTACCATTAATTTTTTAAATAGTGTAATTTTACAATTATATTTCTAATTTTAGATCAAATTTATGATTCAATTCAACAGATAATGCAAAAGATTGTGGCAAAGGCAACCTGCAATATAATTGTTGTTGAATCTACTTAAGTTTTTAGAATAATTGATCACCCAATTTAATGTGATATCCGAACTCTCGAATTTAAATCTTAAAATATAAAATTTTATTTTAATATTTTTTTCATCCAAAATCTTGTGGTTCATTGGACTTTGTAATACTTTTTTAATCTTTCCTAAGCTTGCACTTTCTTTTTACTTTGATGCACTCAGACATTTTCTTTAGGTGGGTGAAGGTGAATTTGGGTTGGATCAAAAGCAGTGGCTTGAAACTGCTGATGCAACCAGTATACTCCATGACCCAGACTTTTGACAAGAACCCAAAAGCAGTTCAACCCTCCAAGATTCTGTGTGAACTTCTTTTAGTGTTATTTGTTTTTTTTTCATTTATATGAATGATGAAATTAATTTTAATAAAATTAAAAATTATAATAAAAATTATTATAATTGTAATTAAAAAATTATTATAATTACAATTAAAAAATTTTTGATAAAAAATTTATATTAAATGAATTTTTTTTAAATTAACATTTAAATTTAAGTAACGATGCAATAAGTTCAAGTACACCGCACCAGCTGACCTTATTTCCTCTGACAACTCACCATTTTCATTCATATCTCATTATATCATCTGTGGTAAAACCTTCTATTTTTCCCTTTAAATTTTTACAAACATGGAACATTTCTGTTCTGTTCTACCTATTCTTTAAAAGCACAAGCTATGTATTAAATTGGCATTGGAACATTGGGACAACTTACAGCTGTTTATGTTATCAAAAGTCCTCGCACCCCATAACTGTGCTTTGCTTTCCTGGTGACATTTCCATTCACTTTTGTAATAAAATCTCAGTTCACAACCATATTCAGTCACATGAGTGATTGAGTCTGATCTAGACCACGTATAAAGTGAATTGAAACCAAGAAGCCCCATGAAATTCTTGATTGCTTTAAACTTGAAACAATCCACATATCCATACAATGTACAATGAGAGAAAACAACCCAATTTTCCTGGATTTCATGCTTTCTCTTAGATTACAACATCAAGCACTTAGACCCAGCTTCCATTATTTAACTGGATAGCAATTATAAGCGCATCAAGCAACATGAAACTATTAAGTCTAAAACACTAAACAATTGCAATCCCCCTCTTCTTTTGAGTGAGTTCAAGGAGCAAATTAAGTTTGTACCATTCACTTTCTTCTCCTATCAAGTCCAGCTAATTGCAATGGGACTGCCCACGGTGTACTTCCCATCAGACCATTCCAAACGAGCAAAGCTGAATGTATTAGAAGGCTGTGAACTTCCAGTGAACGTGACTGTATATGATTTTTTCTCATTTGCTTGGCTGAAACTCAACGTCTGTGGCTCAATTGATATCTTAACTGTCGGGGTTTCTGGTGATATCGACACCTTGTAAGTTCCTGGTGAGCCCACATTTGTAAGAGTTCTAGTATACTTAACCACATTTGAGCCACCCATTATAGTATCAAAATTGACAGCAAACGATGGGTAGTTGAGATCAGTAACTCTATATTTCTTGCTAGCATCACATGAGAAGTTTCTTCTAGCGAGGGATCTAATTTGAAATTCACTGTAGTTTAAGGCACAAAGGAAACCAAGATAATCTTCAACTGTTAAATCATAGACAAGTCCTGGATTGAGCGCTGATACAGGATCTACATGTCCAGCTCCATGATCAAACGGGGTGGATGCTTTCCCAGTAGCAATATCTTGCAATTTCTGCTTGTTTTTGTACTCTGTATAAGCTGTGGTCATGAGAGCTGATCTGATGGCTGCAGGACTCCAATCTGGGTGAGCAGCCTTGAGCAATCCCGCAAGGCCACTAACATGTGGGCAAGACATTGAAGTACCTGAAATAATGTTAAAATCCACTCGTCTGGAATCCATTGCCAACCCTGTCGGACCTGCAGCCCCGGACCACCCTGCTAAAATGTTGACACCTGGAGCAATCATGTCAGGCTTCAATATCTCCGGGGTTATTAAATTAGGCCCTCTTGAGCTAAAAGCAGCAACGACAGGTGATGGTTCAATACCAACTTTGGTTCCTTCAAAAAGAATTGTCACAGTTGGTTTAGGATTAGAAAACAAGTAATTTTTTATAGCATCACCAGATTTTTGACCCACAGCAGTGGCCGGAAGCAAATGAGCATCCGCTACAAGCTCTTCACCATTTGCTGCATTGTTAGCCAAAACCATTCCTATACCGCCAGCGGCTTTAACAACAGCTCCTTTTTGAACCCTGGCGTTCATTCCACGATCGCAAAGAACTATTTTGCCTGCAACTTTTTCTGGTATCAAAGAACCCATCATACACAAATTCCCGCTCGTAGCATTACTAGCATTACCAGCATAAACAAATGGTAACAACTTTCCAGGCAAGGTGCTGCCCTTGTAAAGAGACACACCAGAGTAATTTCTCCCGTTTCCAAGGCTAACATAAGCTGGGAAATCACGATCCAATGTGCCTGCACCAACGGTAGTAATCCAAGGAGCCACGTTTGATAAACTGTAAGGACCTGGACCACCATTTCCTGCTGAACAAGAAACTAAAATTCCCTTTTCCATAGCAGCAAATGCTCCAATTGCAACACTATCCCTGAAATAATCCGACTTGCCACCACCGATTGACATTGAAAGTACATCAACGTTGTCATCAATAGCCTTATCCATCGCAGCCAAGATGTCTGAACTGAAACATCCACCGGTCCAACAAACCTTGTAAACAGCTACTCTAGCGCGCGTGGCCATACCACGCGCCGTCCCTGGGGCATACCCAAACAAGCTGGCCCCATCCACCACCGACCCAGCAGCCGTGGATGCTGTGTGAGTACCATGTCCATCATCATCTCGAGGTGATTTTGATTCCTTGGACACATCAATTGGACCCAATGTAGCCTCATACCCATTAGCAAAGTACCTTGCACCTATCAGCTTTCGGTTACAATTTGATGATCTAAAATTGGTGCCTGATTCACACGCGCCTTTCCAGTTGCTTGGTATTGGTCCAAGCCCCGTATCAGCAAAGCTCTTGCTTTCAGGCCAAACTCCAGTATCTAGTACACCAATAATAACTTCACTCACCGAGTCAGAGTCGGGGAACAAATCGGCAGCTTCACTGAGTCCAAGAAACTGAGGTGAACGAGTGGTGTGCAACTCGTATCTTAACTCAGGTAAAACTGCAAGGATACCTGGTTGGCTCTCGAGCTGTTGAGCTTCCTCATTGGTTAACTGAGTGGAGAATCCGTGGATAACGTTCTCGTAGGTATAGAGCATTTGACCTGAGCCGGAAACTGATTTCAAAGACGAGTCATACCAGTGAGTATGGTGCTGGAAACTCGCTGGCATCTCGGATTTAGCCATGTGGACTATGTAGGTCTTCCTCTGGTTCTTCTTCTCCAAAGGTTCAGACGTAGACACGTGGCAAAAACGCAGAAGAAGAACAATCATAAAACACTTAACCATCTCCATTTTGTTCACTGTCTTCTTCACTAGAAAGAGAGGAAAGGGATAGGAATGAAAGTTTGGATAAAACTCTGGTTTTATACAGAAAAATAAAAAAAGAGAAACAGCTAAGAATCTTAGGGTTTTTCCACCATTTTTTAAAAACCCTTGATGGAAAAGAAGAGAGAAGAACGTTTGCTTGTAGGGACGGTGGTACCGTAGTAGTTGCCTTGATCTTTGAATGATTGGGTTGAGACAAAAAGAAAAAATAATAAAAAGGAGAGATAGAGGTTAAGAGCAGAGGTAAAATATTAACTTTCCTTCACATGATATCATGCTTTTATCCATGTCTTCAAAATCTTCTCCTTCTCTCGAGAATTATAAATGATTTTCTCTCCTCCACTACTGTTTGCTGATAACCCGTGTATTTTCCTTTGTCTTTTAGCAGATTTAGGAAACACATGAAAGTATAAAAAAAGCAGAAAAAGCTTCACTCTTTATATATATTTTTTGGGTTAATGCAAAGAAAGATCTTAAATTATAATAAAATATTAATAAAATATTTAAATTTAAAAATTTTAATATAATATTTAAATTATAATTTTTATTAATTAATATAATAATTAAATAATTATGTATTAAGCACTTTATTATTATTTAAAATTAATCATATTAATTAATAAACTTATAATTTAAATATTATATTAAATTTTTTAAAATTTATTAATCATATCAAACATTTCATTAAAACTTAAATATCATTCGCAACATTAATTTTTTTTATTCCTCTATTACCTTGAATTAGAGGTGGTCGGTGATTAATTAAAAAAAAAGAAAAAGAGATGGTTTGGCAATTACTAACAAGTTATCTTAAAAATGGTGCTAGTGAAATAATAAAGTATAACTAATTCTTTTAGGTTTGAATATTTTTTAATATATTTTAGGTTTTCTTCACGTGCAAATGAATTGATCAAAACAAAAAAAATTAAAATTAATTAATTGGTTTTGAAAATTGTTTTAAAATTTTCTGATTAAGTGTTAATAATTTTTAAACTTCGTCAATATTGTTTTTCAAATCAATTCAAATGTATTTATTTACAATAAATTAATAAATTTATAAAAAATTATTTTTATAATCTTCTAATAAATTCAAATTTAAAACAATTAAGACGAGCAAATTTTGCTACGAGATGAGTTAACATCTCACTTGCTGAAAAATGTTTTAAATTTGCATGAATGTAAATGGAAGAATAAGATGGTGGGTATAATCAAAAGTGGGGGACGGCGGAGAAATGAAGATTCCTCGGGATTAAAATACGATAGCTAGTATTTTTACCTCAAGTATCATATATATTAAAAGAATAATTAATTGACAATTTAATTCGAATTTTTCAGATTTTTTTAATTAGAAAAAATTTCAAGTTTTAAGAAGATTTAAACATTAAATTAAAACTCATTAAAAAAGTTTGGATATAATTTTTAGATTTATTTAAATTTTGAATCGAGTTTTGAATAAAAAAATATTAAAATTTGAATCCGATTTGATCTAATTTGAATAAAATATATAATTAAAATATTATAATTATATAAAAATATATATGAATTTTCATTTTTATATTTTATTTTTTAAAAAAATAATTTTTTTATTTTTATTATATAAATTATCATAATATATAGATTCGAAAATCTATAGTTTAGACTTAACAAATGAAGTCGTCACCAATATTTTTTAACTAAATGTAATTGGTAACATAAGGAATATATTATTTTAAGGAGTTTCGAAGCTTGACTAAGGGTCCCTAAAAAAATAAGTTCGAATCTACAAACCAGAATAAGGTTCAGAAGTTCAGTTACATATGAGAAAGGTTATAGCACTCCTACATACTCATCCAAATGATAGTACCATCTTATTTTAAATTTATCCTAAGGTCTTAATTTTAATGGTTTTAAAATTTATTGTTCAATATTGAAAATAATTCTTAAGATTTCTTCATCAATTTGGTAGAACTCTTAAAAATATTTTCTCACCCCAAGAATATTCAAGGATCCCATTTGTTTCCTTGAAGAAACTCTATCATAAAAAACTTTAATTTTTTTTTTTGACAAAAATATATCTAATTATTTCACCATTTGTGCCAAATTAAAAATATATTTTTTTGAATTTTAAAATTTTTTACTATTTGAGCCTATTTAGAAATTCTTTTTCTTTTATTGGAATTTTAAATTTTCCACCATTTAGGTCAATCTAGAAATTTTTTTTTGAAATTTCTAAATTTTTCACCATTTGACCCTATTTAGAAATTCTTTTTCTCTTTTTATTTCTTTTTTTTGGAAGAAAATAATATGAAATTATTTTTTATTGATCTTTTATTTAAATTCCTCCATCATTTGGGACAAATTTAAAGAAATTTTGCACTTAGAGATTTCTTAGAAGTTTACGATTTAAAATTTTTAAGATTTTCATCTTTAGATAATTGTTAAATGTTTTCAACCAAATTTTTATTTTTTTATTTTTTTATTTTTTTCTCTCTTTTTTTTTTATAAAAATAATACTAATTATTGTTATTGAAACTTTATCTAAATTATTTCACCATTTGGGATAAATTTTAAAAAAATTTCTCACATAAAAATTTTATAAAAATTTACCATTTAAAATTTTTAAAAATTTCATCATTGGATAATTAATATTTAATCTAAAAAAATATTTTATTTTTTTATTTTTTCATAAATTTAATCATGTAAAAAAAATTTAAAAAACAAAATATTAAATAAAAAATACTAAAAAATAGAAATAGCTTGGTTGGAGTGGCTTAGCGTGACTCAGCTTCAGACACAGAATGCGGCTCAAGGGATGCGACTTGACGGATCGGGTTGGCTTGACTAGGCTGAAGGGTTTGATTTGGGGACGTGGGTCGACGAAACCGTTTACGCTAGGTTCGGGTCGGCCCGAATAAAAACATGCAGATCCTAAGGGTTTTTTAAGGCCAAAACGACGTCATTTTGGGATTAGTATAAAAGGCCTAGTTTTAGCTTTTTGCTTTAGATCCCCTTTTCATTTTCATTTTCTTCCTTTCTTTCCTCTTTTTCTCTCTTTAAAAATTGGATGAACTCTGATTGAACTTTCGTTAGATTTTGAAAAATGCACCAAAATCTGGGTTGGTTCACCGAACGTTCGTCGAAAAATTTAAACTTCGTCAAAATCTGCCATCAGATTCTGGAATATCTACCAAAAAATTCAATCGACATCAAAAAATTAGTCGAAAAATTCAACTGACATAGGAAAATTCATTGAAAACTATAAATTTTCATCGAAATTTGAGAATTTTCCAGATTTTTCCAAAAAAATCTTTTTTTTTTTCCCCTAAATCTAAAAAATCTTTGAAAATTTTTTTTAACTACTTTCTGCTTATGATTTTTTCTTTGAATTTTGTTTCTATATTCTGTGTTCTGTGTCCAAGGCTGTATTTATAGGGCTTCAAATCTAAGAGCCATAAACCATATGGGTTTTCAATCCCTTCTTAGTTTTAATTCCAAACCTTAATTCAACTTAAACTCTTTAACCCAGTTCTACCCAAACTAAACCATTTTTTTCCTTTTTTTTTCATTATTATTTTTTATTTTTTAATTATTAACAAACTCAAATCTCTTAGACCCCCAGACAAATTGAGATGTCTACAGCTGCTCCTCTTTACACATTTTTTATGAAATAAAAATTATGCAAAAACATAGATAACCCAATCAACTCAATATATTTTTTGTTTTTTTTTTTAGACTCCTTGAATAATATAAAAACTCCTCTAAATAGAGGCTCCATGACTTTGAAAAAGTAAATAAAGCTCATATAAACAGAGGCTCAACGACTTTAGAAAAAAATAAATGCTCATCTAAATAAAGGCACAACAACTTTAAAAAATAAAATGCTATTCTAAATAGAGGCACGAGTTTAGAAAATTAAAGGCTCTTCTAAACAGAGGCATAACAATTTTGAAAAATAAAAGCTCCTTTAAACAGAGGCATAATAACTTTAGAAAATAAAATGCACCTATAAATAGAGGCACAACAACTTTGAAAAATAAAAAACTTCTCTAAATAGAGGTTCAATAACTTTGAAAAATAAAAAGCTCTTTTAAATAGAAGTATAACAACTTTGAAAAATAAAAAGGCTCTTCTAAATAGAGGCACAATAACTTTGAAAAATAAAAGGCTTCTCTATGTATAAGCATAATAACTTTAAAAAATAAAAGACTTATTGATAATCATGTTTAGAGGAGTCATAGATCATGTCTAATAAAATTTGTAATGGAAACTCAAAGATTCACAATTTGACTTTGAAATTCAAAGGTTTAGATTCGTAAAAATCTTTCAACTTTACAAGAATTCACTGAAATTTGATTCTCAAAATTTCAGTTTCACTAGAATTTGATTCGTAAAATTTTAGATATGCAAGAATTCATATTTGCAAGATTTCAAGATTCGCATCTGCCAATTACAAGACTTGCATCCAACATTTAAATATTTTCATTTTAATTTTAGAGATTCGCATCCAAAAGTTCAAAGCTTCTCATCAAGTTCAAAGGGTCACATTTAACAATTTTGGGATCACATCCAAAAAGTTTAAAGCTTTTCATTTGAATTTTGGATATTCACATCCAAAAGTTCAAAGCTTCTCATTCGAGTTTAAAGGTTCACATTCAATAAATTTTAGAGTTTCACATTTAGAATCTCAAAGGTTTTATTTGAGTTCCTCTTAAAGATTCTAATCAAAAACTCAAAGATTTTTAAATATTCTCATTTAAGACTCAAAAGTTCTTATTTGAAAATGTCCTAAACATACTCATTTAAGATTTAAAGATTCTCATTTGAGAATGTCTTAAAAATTCTAATTTAAGACTCAAATGTTCTCATTTGAAAACATAATAAAGATTTTCATTTAAGACTCAAAGATTCTCATTTAATAACGTCTTAAAGATTCTCATCTAAGACTCAAATATTCTTATTTAAGAACGTCTTAAAGATTCTCATTTGAGACTTAAAGATTCTCATTTGAAGATTCAGGACTTCATCAAAATATTCAAAAATTTTTTTTCAGATGACTTTCAAACTTTTATCAAGTTAAAATTTTGCATGTAATGAATGACATGATCAATGATGCAAATGCTTTCTTAATGATACAAATGCAACAATCTAACCTTCACAATACTACAAATGTTATATTCTCAACCATAAGTCAAATATTTACTGTATAATGCAAATGCATAGCCAAAAAAAAATAATACATGTAATGCGGATGTCCATGCCATGAAATTCTAATTAATTGTGGTAATATAATTCTCTAGACTCCACCATCTCATATTTTTCTTTTTTAACTTTTTTAACTTTTTTAACTTCTCAGCTTCTCAGCACTAGACATTTTAGAATAAATTCTGTCCTCTGATCACTTGATCACTAC